CAAAGAAGTAGCAATAGCCTATCATATGTTGGTCGTATATCAGAAGTCTTTCGAGACATGTACTTATAATAACTACGAAAATTTGGCACAATCGGTCGAATATCTTAGATATGCATATTGTAAGTATAATCTATACATATAAAAATTCTGAGTCGAATCTGTACATTAAATAGTTTTTTGGAAAATCTTATTGAAATAGTCATTATTATCGTTACAGAGGCCGAATCAGCATCACGAGAATACCACTGGACTAATTTTGATAAAATTTGGTATAATGATAGCTGGTTATCTGGGTTTATTTACGACTTTTTGCTGCGGGGATATACTTATCTCATTTCTGAAAAACTATACTGAACGTTAAAACGTACTTAAACGTAAAATATATAGGTAAATTGAAAACCTATCATACATTTTCATTCCATTATTAGATTAGCGATTTATTAACATTTCGCTCGGGTACGCTCCTAACACTAGCATAATATATGTTACATTAGGCCATGGTCTATCTATGGTGTATTTAATTTCATCAAAATCCGTTCAGCCGTTTGATCTTTTATATTTATCATTCATCTTTATCTATTCAATTAAAATTTTCAGACGTAAGTAGGTATACGAATAAGAAACATATTATATATTTAAATACTTTTAAGAATTGTAAAGCAATAGATATTCTATGAACTTTACCTTTCACATTGACGTCTTCTTACCTTATTACCCTTAAGAGTTAAGAAGACCTTATAGAAAGTACTAGCGACACACCCTGGCTTCGCTTGAGTTCGTCCCTGGATACTTTTTAACGGTTCGTATAAAATAGATAAGCTATATATTATATGACATACAGTCAATAGCCTTCCTCAAACACGGGCTATCTAATGCAAAAATAATATTACAAATCGGATTAGTAGTTTATGAGATTAGCGCATTCAAACAAACAAACAAACAAACAAACAAACAAACAAACAAACAAACAAACTTAGCCTCTCTATAATATTAGTATAGATAATCAAGTAACAGTTTCTAAGAACCTTGTTGACTTATTTGTCAACGATGATAATCGAACCCCTGAACTTGCCTTAAATATAGAACTGTATAAGATCCTATAATTTACCATTGTGTTTTTTACAAGCTATCACCCAAACCACAATGAGAAAGCATTTAAAACCGATTGTGGAACAAAAAATATTATGCTCATTGAACTTATTCAAGCGTCACTTTCCACTTCAAATGGAATCAGTATGATTTGGGACCGTGACTTATTATGACTTCAAATTATTTACCGCTTAGTTTCTTATTGTATAGGCAAAAGACTTTAGATTTCTATGTTTTGGTTTTATGGAAAAAGGGTTGTTTTTTAACAATAATATGGAGACCACACAACGGAATGATGAAATTTGCTTTCTATTAATTTTTCGTGAAGTTCGACAAATAATAAATATATAATTATCTGTTCTTAGTTGAAATAATTTTATTAAAGACATTGTTTAATTTTTAACATTTTAGATGATTAATTTGTTTAACTAAGCCCATGCTAATATATAAAATATATTATACTAGCAGAACTCGCGGCATCGCTCGCGCTATAACTACAAAAAAACTCTAAAAAGGTAGTTTCATACAAACTTTCATCCTGTATTTTACCCCCTTATAGGATGAATTTCGAAAAATGCTAAAACACGTATTTATTTAACTTTGTTGAAAAGCATTAATACCAAGTTTCAAGTACTTCTGATCAAATATATTTTTTTGGATTGTATTATGGGAAATAAGTAATCTCCTGCGGTAAAAAGTCATTTAAACATCATTTATCTATATATTATAATTTTTTTTTATTGATTACACTAAAGCTCGGGCATAGTTACTAAAAAAAAGTAAAAGAAAACCGGTTGACAAACAGAAAAAAGGTAATGAACGGTATCGTCTTTACCCATTTACATATTAGTATGTATTACAAGATTTGAATCTGTTACCTGCATTAGAAGTCATACACCATTATTATCCCATAAATTTATTTATATTTAACTAGCGACTCATATTCTCTTCCCTTAAGTTGATTCCCCCTACAAGCTCTCATCCCCATTTTCACTCCTTTAAGGGATGATTTCCGGGATAAAAGCTATCCTATGTCCTTTTCAGGGTCTCAAACTATTTCTTACAAAATTTTATCTAAATCGGTCCAGTAGTTTCGGAACTTATTCGGTACAAACAAACTAACAAAAAATCTTACCTATTTATAATATTAGTATAGATACTCGTAGTGTACAGTCATCCAGTAAATGAAATTCATTCGTTTTCGATTTCTTTGTCCAAGTAACATTGAAATATATCGATTTTCCTTTCGTACTCGACTCGTTTTACATTACCAGTGCAGAGCTTGGTTTTAAGTTAAAAGATTACTCATATAGAGTAAGTCTTTATTTTATTAACTTTCTTTCGCTGTATTTATGAATATTTATTTTAAATAATTGTTATATTCTATATATATAGTTATAATTAATAGTGTAATATCTGCATACGAATTGTATAAGAATTTAACTAGATCCGAAATCGAACTTGTAATCATCAAAGGCTTTACTCTAACTTTGAAATAGAATAATTATAAAATATATTTTAAAGCATTTATAGATAATAAATGTCGTTTTTTCTCAAATAAGACATATTATTTCACAAAGAAATCAAAATATAGTAGAACCTTCATAAATCATTTTTTTTCTCGTATATAGTATCCGCCGTTGTGTTGAACTTGGGGCAATTTCGTTCGTGACTTGAAACGGAGCAAGTTTAGATTCAAGTTTGAACTAGTTTACGTTAGCCGCTTTGAAAGGGCTGGCTCTATATTATAAGAAAACTCTATTCTTTACTATGACATAATAATTTATACGTTACTCTTATTTATACTTAATTGAGATATTTTTTATACATTTTAATTATTACATTCTGTTATTTCTATCTCGTTATTATTTCATAAAAAATAAGTAAATTTTTCAGAACAAAAATTCTCTCGAGAAGATAGCGGTTAGTTTATTTTACTATTATTTTATAAATTAAAGATATCATCAAAAACGAACAATATGTATGTAATAATTATCAGAGATTTATTAATTTGTTTTAATCTAAAGTTATTATATTATATTTAAAATATGATTAAATAACAAATAATATATTTAATATTAAAAAATAAACGATGTAGAGTCATAATTTTCTGTGATCTATTAAAAGTACAATACGCGTTAAAACAATAATTATTGCACCGTACATGTTTGAACAAGTTGAGGCTCTTGCGTAAACAAGATATTTTCGTCTCGATTGACGGACCGACCGCCTGACAGCTTATGTTTCAGTTTTCATGTGCACTAATAAAATGCCATGGTTGTAATTTAGGATGGGAATTTTTATTTTCTTTTACGACTATGTTAAAATTTCGATGTCAAATAAATGTATTTCTTTTAATAATAATTAAACTTTTAAGAATGTGCCAATAAATATAAAATTTGTATTCACTATTTTGTCTTTAATAAATGTTAAAATATTTTACTTGTAAAATGTAGAGCTGACTTTTATAAAATATTTATAATTATATAAATCATTCCGCACTTGCAAAAACATACATACATTTTTTACTAATTTGGGTAAGTCTAATTTAAGTGTAAAATTTTCACTACTAGTTTATAAAGAAATAACATAATTTAACGTTGTATTATAGGAAATGTTTATTAAAATTGCTTTAAGTTCGATACACTTTCTTTAAAATTGCCAAGCAAAAAAATTAATGTCTATACTGATATATTATAAAATATAATTTATAACTTTTAATAATACTTTGATTCCATGTCGATAAGGAGGCGTATACAATGAAAAATCTCATTGTTTTAAAAAATAATAAATTTATTTCACAAGTTCCCTCAAGTCGAGGTCATAGAAGTTTAACACAATCCAGTTATGCATAAATGATTACATGCGGCTTAATTATATGGGGTATAGTAAAGTAATTGCTTACATAAAGCATCACAAATTAAATGCAATATTTACAACACAAAAAAAAATATTTAAAACTACGTCTTTTTACATGTAAATTTTTTTCTACATTTTTTTGTTATTGAAACAGAACAAATTTGAACAAACTTTTGATTTGTAACAAAATAATTAGACGTTTATTTACATTTCATTTAACTTTTCGCTAAACCAGTGCGAAAAGCGTCGAGATCCGTAAAAGCTTTTAACAATTCCGTACAACTAATATTTGGCGTCTAATCGAATTGAGATAATAGCACAAATAAAACCTAGAATATAGATATGACTATGAATATTTGGAATTAAAATAAGATCGAGATCCTTGGACATCAATTTTCTTATTATATTATAAAATCAAAATGCTTTATTAAAAATTTTCACTTGAACTAAACGTGTAATAAATTAAACTAGTAGTAATTACGCTAATTAAAATCGATAAAACAAAATAAAGAGATCAAATGGAAATAACTAAATACAAAACTTAACAACACTAAATGGTCATGAAAATATTCGTCACTGAGAACTTTGAAATTTCTGAAGTCACAAAATTATTTCTGGAGCCAAATGTGAATCATGATTTATATTTAAATCAAGACCTTTTTATAAAGCACATTTCCATGTCTGATTTAAGTCAATTTTTAAATGCATACACTATGACTTATGTTACGAATATTATTACATTATCCATATAAACAATCGTGGAGGCGTTTTGTCGAACTTCACTCAAATTTTGAATCGAGAAGCAAAGTCATCAAAAGCGCATGTAAGTGTATTAAAAATGCAGAAACAAATAAAAAATGAAGGGGATTGCACCGTTCATTTTTAATTTGTTTCGAACCACCATTTACAATTTAAGTGCAGTTTGACACAACATCTCGAATATAAAAAAAATACAAAAGAACTTTTCGATGGACTTAAAAATACGTAACAACTGTCCAGATCTGCTTTGCAGTATCACCGTTAACAATACTTATCTAATTGTCTTCTTTTTATCTGACCGCATTGAAGAGGGACGAGGCGAGAGACACTTTTAGGATGGCGACTACCATAACCAAATTCACGATGTAGGTCGAATTGCATCTTAAGTGGTAAGGTGGTATATAGGGCTCTCGAGGGCACTCACCTCGCCGGCTCTCCTGAACTTCTTGGCCAGGTTGCCGTGAAACCAAGATGTGGCATAAAACCTCGTACAACTCGGCAAGGAGCCGGTTCAAACGTGAAAAGTTCTCCTCTGCTGCCTCTCTCTCGCTCGGCAAGTTGAATGCTATAGCCATCTTTGTTTCTCACAACGCCTTTTTCTACGAAAGAAGCGTGGACAGATTGCGGTTTGTTTTGTATGCATAAATGCTTGCGAGCGTTTGGGTTTCGATTCCCTTTTGTTTTTTATGCCCCACTTTTTGTGTTAGGTTTTTCAGTGGATTATATCGGTTTTACGATTGGCCTCTTTAGAAGACTAGGTTAAATGACACTGAGTAAAACTTTCTATTCTTCAAAAAATTTTAAGTTCATAAAAGTTTATAAAATTATTTTCTCTAAATAGAGTTTTATGACACTCAATAATTTCACTTAGAGAGCATCAAAAACATTATGACACAGTTTAATTTGGCTAGCAAAATCACTTCGCGTAAAAAGTTCACAATTTCACAAAAGTTTCAGTCAAAACACAGTACGAAATATAGTCCGTGATTCACTCGCAATTTAACGATAATCGACGCTCGGTCGATGACACAATCGCGCTAACTAACGCACTATGCATCGCTCCAGCTTTTCGATGTAAACAAGCTGACACCTCGACTCTACAATAGAGGTCGGACAACTGTACGTGCGGCCTGCGCGGAAGCGGATCGTGTAATAAGGGATAATACTTCGTGCACATCATTGCCTCGGCAGACTCTACATGTGTGCGTGAGGTGCATAATGTAAGCACTAATAGTTGAACGCACGGTAGCACGTTCCCTTCGCACTCTACCACTACAATAAACTGCGACACCGATATTCCGTCTCTTTCTCTCCCATGTTTTATTGTATATTGTGTCTCTTTTCAAATCGGTTACATCATTTCGACAACAGAATAGCTTGAAAGGTGCTTTCTCGGTCTGATATTTGGTTAAAATCCCTTAGCAAGAGGGATGGAGAGTTGAAAGAGGGTTTTTATTTTGTATACTAGAAAGCGCGCCAAAGTGAATCGACCAATGGGGTTGCTTCTTTTGTATGGGGTGAGGTGACGTGAGGACCGAGGACTCAGACCACGGGGTTGTTAAACGAGGCCCGTTCACTCGGGTATGAGCTTGCGAGTGTGACTCTGCTATTGCGATTTGCGTGACGTAATTTAACAGCTCTTTGTTCTCGTAAGCCGATCTAATGTGAGTTTAGGATTGCAATACCGGGACAAGATTACGCGTGCATTTTATCGTAGTAATTTGGTAATGTTTGTAGTCGAGCTCTCGTATAAACTGTTTTACGGTCGCGGTTTTGCCATCGATAGGTTTGTGCGAAGGTGTTTTTGGGTTTATTGGCGTTTAGAACCGAGTGGAAACCTTTGTTTAGACTTACTCAATACGGGTAATAAAAATGATAACTGCTTTTGAGATGTAAACCGTTTCATAAAAAATACATGTGATTTCGAAACTGTGTTGCTTATTTTATAATTTAGTATCGGTCGAAGTGTTCAACGTTTTTTATTATCATAAAAGTGTAGCTTAAAATATAGATTAAAAAGAATTTGTAGTAAAAAACATATATCACAATTTAAAAAAAAAAATTGAGTTAGAATCTTTTTACGTCGTTTTTCACGTATCGTACAATCTCAAATGAAGATATACTTTGCTAACGTATGAAATCGTATGCAAGAGATATGTTGAATGTTATTGTTTTTCAGATGCATCGACTCTACACGTCAACCTTCAATCACAAAATAAATACACAATCAAGAAGTTTTTATGCATATTTAAAAAACTTTCTTAATTAAACTTATAAAGTGTTATTAAACTTGTTTAAGTTAGAACTACAACACATACTTTCAAAATATATTTACAATATAAAACATATTATCCATGTAAATTCATACAACTACAATCTCTTTTACTAATTGCTTTGGCATTGATAAATATATAGAGAGTGTTCTATATTAATATTTCATATCGATTTTAGTTATTAAAAGAGTTAGTAACCGAGTTACTTACAAATTAATGTTATACTTGACATTACTAGCACTTAGAAAAAAATAACATTAGATATTTAGTAAAACTAAATTGAATGATATACACTTATAAGAAACTTACTAAAGATATTTAATACACTAAATAAAACAAAGGGTACTAATTAACATAAATCTATACGTATAATAAAATTGTAAATTAGTCGAATCTGTACATTAAATATTTTTTGGAAAATGTAATTGAAATAGACATTATTATCGATACAGAGTCCGAATGTATAGTTTTTAGAATTTTTGTCTGTCTGTCTGTTACTGCATCACGAGAAAACCACTGGACAAATTTTGATGAAATTTGGTATGATGATAGCTGGGTATCCGGGTCAACATATAGGATACTTTTTACCGCGGAAAAATATCTCATTTCTGAGAAAAAAATACAAAAACTGCAATGTAAGAGTATACTAATATGTAAAACCTAAGAATTTGGTTTTTGGTCATCTGAACGCGGGCGGAACCGCGGGCAATGCTAGTATATATATATTTAGATTTAATATTACGGCTCTATAAATAAAATCTCTTAAAACTTAAACGGAGAGTTTAAATTTATAAAAGCTAAGAATAAAATTTTACTTATAGATAAAAATAAAATTAAAAAAATTTAATTCATTCTCAACAGCTCAAAAAAAAAACAAAAATATTGTTATATAGTAGTAGCATTTTTAAAATAAAATGTGACATTACTCCAAAATATGTATATAAAATAAAACTAAGATATAACGAAAAGATAGTTTTATTTAAAATGTCAAATATTCGCGTAAATCTAAGAAAGTATTATGTATATAAAAATATAAAATATTATATAATATATTAATACTTTTATATTTTTTTTTAGTTTTCTATTTGATAACGACAGTAGAATATTATCTTGTTTTAAGTATAAATATTAACATTTAAGCAAACATGACGCAATTTCCAACTTGCATACAACGGGACCTCGCTCAGGTACGAATTCGCTTTGTTGGATGTGGGGCGATGAGTAACGTAAACAACTTTGATACGTTTGCCTTAGATAATAATATCTACTGGATCGATTTAAATAAACATTTTGATATTGTTATGATACAAAATATGTTTCTTATTTAAAAATTCGTTTCGTAATAATTTATATTATAATATTACATAAATAGTACAAAATATACCTATTGTACTATCTTAAATATATATATATATATATATATACATATATATATATATATATAATTAATATTATAAATTTCAAAGTCTGTCGCTTTATTACGCTTAAGCCGCTGAACAAATTTTGATGAAATGATATAGATTGCATCCATATTAAATGCTCAATAAACGATAATAAAATATAGAGTATAACTTAATTGTTTTTTATTGTATTAGTTTTTATTAATTTATTCGTAACATTTTTAGAAAAAGTATAACCGAAAAACCGTAAAAACGAAACTTAAGAGTAAAAGTATTTAACTATTTAGTATTTACTTTTAAACTAGAAGTTGCAGATTCGATTTCTGCTCAGCACAAAACTGTGTTTAACCCAATTTAGGTTTTTGCTCTCATGTAGAGATAATATTTAATTCTGGTTACTGGTTAAAATTCATATTTCTTTGCTAAGTTATTTAAAATACGTACCTATATGAATAAAAAAAAACTAAAATTATATATTTACTAAGAAAATCTTTATAAAAACAATAGTTTTATCATGAATTTTAATCACTTGGTAAACACAAGTCTCTATAAATGAAGAAATTTTTGAGCATACAAGTACATGCTTTTTGCCGCTTTTCGCTAAAATTGCTTAATCTTTTGAGCATCAATAGAAATGATTTAGAGAGCTTTCTATATACATACTTTCTAATTTATATAACTCTAACTAAAATTTTATCTACTCTTAATCTAAAATATCTATCTATTTTAGCTATTTTAAACCGTAATAAGAATAATAAAGAATCTAATATTCTATGAAATATTTTGGATATAAACAAAACTATTCATTTATTTATCCCTTACAACTTGTTGTTTATACGATGATAAGTCTCGAGTAGGAAGAGAAAGTAAAAGTGTCACTAGATGGCGTTACTATTAAGAGTTTACAGTTAACTGTGTAGAGACGTGTAGTATTACTGTAATGTTTCTTTTTTGTTTCATCTTCATTATGATAGTTATTTTTACTTAGAAATATTATATAACAGCTGATATTATTATTTATTTATTAAATATGCGAATTTCTAGCAACTAACTTTGAGTATTACTTTTTGAAGTAAAACTTCTTTAGACTTAACTGATTGGTAAGTCAAAAATTAATGTAGCGGAAGTATGTCGCGCAAGTGAGAGATAAATTTATTATTAATATTTTTTTAAAAATAATGAATAAAATGAATATTTATTACTATGGGATGAATGTGCATAAATTAAATAAAAGCTATTATGACTAATTGTTGCCATGGCAACCGTTGTTATTGTCGGACAAATGATATACAATATTGTAGTCTTTCCGTATATGATATTCTATAAATATATGATTGTAATATGCCTTATTTAATTATAAATTTATTTTAACTTAATTGCGATATTTGCCAGAGATATTTTACTTGAAGAAGGTTACACGCACTCGTTTTTTTAGCTATAGCTGAGCCTTGAAATTTTTAGTAAACTTAAGCATCTATATTAAATAGTACAGATAATATGAATTTTTAAATAATATATCTTAGTCAAACCACACAATTATTTCAACCATTCAGTAAAATATTATAATAATTTTAAAATTTCCTTCCTATTATTCACACGTTAAAATTAAATGGATTTGATTTAAATCCTGTTAAAACATCTCATTTGACATCAGTGTTTGCATTCATTAATTTATGGGGCTTCCATTACCATAATATTCGTTTTCAATTTCATATTACAAGCGGATATGGAAATGCAAATGACACAATACACTGATAGGCCAATTAAAATTATGTGAATAAGTGTACAAAATAAACAAGTTAGCAGTATTGTAAATACATATTAAATATAGATAATGTAAAAAAAATATAGCTTTATTTTAGACAAAGGGTGTTATTTTTTTAATTTATATTTAGAAAACGT